ATATCTATTAATAAAAATAAACAGTAAATAACTAAAGTTTTCATGTAAGATAAATAAATAGATAACATTTATATTTATATCTAGATAAAATAATAGTTAATTAATATTTTTATCCAGATAAATCTTAACACTGAATTTAAGCACTATGAATAGCTCATTACCGTAGTTATTTGTAAACTTTGAATACACAGGCTAATACAAAATTATTATTTAATGATTTTATTTATTTTTAATATTTTTAATTTGTTATAATTGAGACACTTTTTTCGGCGAAATTATTTACTTTGAACTTTTCAAGCAATACTTGTACATCAAAAGATTGTTAAAAATATTTATTATTTTGATCGCTTTAATTTCACAATAATCTTTCCTTAACAAGAATTTAAAAAAAATTTTAAAAAACTTCTCAAAATTGTAAGATAAAACTATTTCCACGTGCATATACTTTATATTTATTTTACCATTTTTAAATACTATCAAATGTCTGCTTTTTATTTTATTTGATAACTTTTATTATCGTCCAATACTTTGAAACCTAATATCGCCGAAGCTCATTATACAAAATGGTGAACTGTTATCATTGTTTCTCATTTTATGAATTAATATATTTACAGTTTACAATATAATTTCAAAAAGAGCTCACTTAACCAATAACCTAATTATAAATAAAAAGACCGTTGATTTCAAAACCGTACTTCCAAAGCAGTAGAGAATTATATTAAATTATCCCAACTAATCTAATAATGGACGTGAGTCGTGTAAGTCACCATCAACATCCACAGTAAATTATCCTTTTTTTATTGGATATTAATATATAATGTTTGCTAATTCAATACGTAAATGTTATGATGGTTTTTCAACAATGATCTTCACCATAACTATGAGAGTTGTACATGTTCGTAGTGTTAATAAAACAATAAACATCATACGTAACATTTTTATGATATCAGATATCATAAATATCTTATAGTGTGTACTTGATGAAGTTAAAATGCTTATTTATATACATAGAATATGTAGTTACATTTTTTTCATTCCACAGATATTATCAAAAATAAAAAAACACAGCAAATCAATTTTTTATTTAATTCCTAATGCCTTAGAATAATTATTAAATAGAAGTTATAGAAGATTCTTTGCATTGAAATTAATTTGAATTCTACTTAAAAGGCTTGAATTTTTCTCCCTTTATAAATATTTCAATATCTACTTATATTCACCCTAATAATGGTTTTCCATTCACGTTTATTAATATCCATATTTATCTGTCTCATATTTATCGCATTTGAAAAACTTTCAATGACGCAACTCAAATTCAGTTCATCTCCATTCATACTGTTTTCCATTACAAAATACACTATTCATTGTCAAACTTTTTTTTCTTCGTAATCTTCAGATCCCCAGGAAAAACAAAATAAACACTCTATAAGAGACTCGTATTTCTATGAAAACGCCAAATATTCCTCACGGGTTGAGCAATTTTAGTCATTGTTTTGGGTGTGTTAGACATTCTCTGAATTTTATGTTTAAAAGTTGTAGATTAGAAGCGTACTTAGATACATGTACGATAAACAAGTAAAATAGATTATGTTTCAACATTCTACAAGTTAAACACACTCAAATCTTCAAAACAATGTAGAGTGTACAGAATATTTTGCTTCGACCGTTATTTTTTCTTTAGGTACCTTTATTCTATATACAGTAGCACACGCATAACTACAGACTGCAGTGCTCTACACTACAAGCGAGTAGAAAAAAATATTTAAGAATGTGTCTCTGATGATTAAAAGCTGAATCATACATTGAATACATTATAATGAAAACTATTAAAATCGAGACGTTAATTTCTCCCTTTCTCTTACTCTTTCAAATTTTTTTTTTCTTCCTATTCCCCTCGCTTTTTTTCTCATAGCTATACCCAAAACGCGTACTCGTTGTCAACGTTTACTTTTGCAACACTGAATGAAATAATCGATAAAATTCGTTTGCACATTAATAAAAAAGAAAGAAAAAAATGGTATATAAATAAAGGTTATTATATTACGTATATTAATGGATACTTTATATTATAAATATAATACACTCGACGAGAAAATGCACCGATAGGTTTTCAATAATCCAAAAAAAATAAAGTATAATAAGCTTTATTTGCAACGGAGTCGCCGGTATTTCTGAGTAGAGCAAAAACTACAGGACGAGTACCGCATGTATATAGGCAATCAGTCCTCTCCACCACCAATCTCCTTAACCGTTGCCTCTGCACCACAATAAAAAAGAGGGCATAGGATCGTTAAGTGCTTATCTCGTACGAACGTATAAAATAACCTGTAGTAAAACACCTTTGACAACAACATTATTAAATTTAATAATAATAATAGGATTATTATATTATGTTATATATTGTTATAAATTATATATATTTGTTATTTACTGTTATTATAGATTATGTACGAGTATAGAAAACTCGATGTAATTACATGTTTAATACTGTAAAATATAAATGAAGTAAAAAAAAAAAAGTAGTAAAATGATGGAAAACGGAAAGTTTCCACCCGATATCTAAGCAATGACGCGTTATACGACATCATAATAAAAGTAAATTTTACGATTACATTATTTCCATAATATTGTAATAATATCTGGCACGTGACGTTTGTCCGGTAAAGAATTACTTCAAGTCTTTTCTCAATACCTGTACCCACTAATGTCGGTACAATGTTAACGCTTGAACTCATTATAATTTGTGGTAGTTTTTCAAATAAATAAACAATATAATTTATAGTATTGCTGTTCTATATTGCACATGATCCGGATTTTTAAGTTTGTCTGGTCTTCACCGCGGCAGAACATTACGAACAAAATATCTATGTAATAGCAACTAATTTTAAAAAGTAATGGTGAAAATATTGTAACGATTCAAACTTTTAATTTTAAAATATAATATTACACAAAAAATTCAAATACAATTCTCATTGATATTATAACTGCGATTGTAATAATGCTTCGAAAAATAAATAAATATACTCAACTACATTGTAATGCAGATAACCGCTGAGGTTATCACATTTCGTTATTGCGATATCTTATAAAAAACGAAACGTTCGTACCGATTATAAAATATATTCTGCTTTCAATTATGTCTAATTATAAATACATATATAAATAAATAGTTTATATATATTCATAAAAATAAATTAATTAATTGATGCTTAACCTGGAGTATTATTAAATTTGTAATGTACGACCGGATTCGAATTAAAAATTCATCATCAGGTGTGTTCAAAGCCAATAAAAACGCAACTGTATATGAAAAGTAAAGAAAGGAATATATGGAAAAAAATTGGTCGTTTTACGTAAAGATAATTTATTATAACAAGAGATATAATTTAAAATAGGTTTTTATTAAAGACAGATACGTTCAAATATAAAATTAAATATTGAAACAAAATAATATAATTAAACATGTGTTTGATAAAAACTCATTTATACATACCTTGGCATCTTCATTATCCACTGGGCCCCGACGAATACACCACCAAATTTTTTTATTATTAATGAACTATATTAATTTGCACATATTAGTTTAATTTAGTTTAGTAACATAGTACAAGCCAATGATTCTGTAATTGAGGCTTTAACTTTAATAAAAATTAAAAAAACTCATGTTAAATAATCACTCCTATTAAAATAAATGAACTCTGTATAAAACGACCAATTATTCTCAATGTATTCCTTCCTTTATTTTTTCACATTCATCCGCGGTTTTATTGACTTTGTATGTACCTAATGATGATTCGAAACCGGTCGTACATTTAAAATAAAATAATACTCTAGATTAGACATTTATTTATTTACATATTTATTGTTATCTTCAAACTATTTACTCGTATATTAATATAATTAATATAAACTATTGACAATTTATTGATTGTTGTTTTATTTTATTACATTATTACCGAACAATTGTTATATAACTACTGCACGCGTCATTGCAATATTTTCGAATAGTGATGATCGTACTGTAATCAATATTGTATGCTGCTACTTGTAAGATCGATATTGACTCGATCGTACAAAATATCCGCTAAGATAATGCATTTTTCATCCGTCGTATCATACACAATTTAAAGCAATGCCAACCGTCAAATTCTATTTATTTTTTAACCGGCACATTCTACTGTCCTATCTAACACGAGATACGTGACCAACGGTGAAGTTTTACCGTCCGATGGTCCGATCCGTCTATACTAATCATGTACAAAGTCACATCGAGCGAAAATATATCATTTACGTTGGGGTGAAAAAGGGCAAACAACTGCTAGTTTTGATTTATGTGGTTTTAGTTATTTTTTTTTTTTTTAGACATTATACGATAATGATAATCACAACTTATACATGAAATACAGTTTAACAATGAATAAAAACATCCGATCCACTATATAGCATAAGCATACATTTACGGACATAAGTAATTTTCATTATTGTGTAGGAACTTACACGTATGATGTCTTCTGCCGCGCAGGAATTAACACATCACATGTATAGGTTCACTGACGTGCGTATTTACTTACCGATCGTTTACCCGATACTCGCGTTTAGCAACGTACCATATTCCCCGTACGTTCAACAGTGATCGTGACGGAATCGTAAACGTACTTTTTATCATTTCGATCAGAACCCGCGCACGGCAGAAGCTTTTACCTTTTCGGTTGTTTCGAGCGAACAGTCGAAATACCTTTGTGCGTGCCCCCCCCCCCCCCCATCACAATACCTGTTGCGGATCGTAATGCTTTTGCGGATCACGGAAAAAAAAATATGCAAAACTCGGACGACAATACCCGATTCGACGGGGGGCCACGTGCCGCTCGGCACTATTATTTAACCGTGATCCCGACCCGAAACCCGTTATCAACCGCGGTATCCCCTCCACAACATACGTTCTCGCTCGTTACCCGTTACCGTGTAGGACGCAGCAGCAGCAGCAGCAGCAGTCTGTGCGCGACGTGCACGCACACGTGTGCTCCGCTTGTCGTGATCGCGTCCGAAAACGTCTGCCACAGAATCGCCGTCGGCGTACGCTTGCCGAGTACGGTGCATCGTATAGCCTGCGGTAGTTCCCGTTCGACATCGGCGCGCGAACCCTTTCTGCCCGTAACGCCCGCGGGTTCGCCGAATCGACATGGACGGCAGCCGACCACGGTGGACCGCGGTCGCGGTAACCCCGTCCGCCGGTGGCGAGGAGATCCGATTGGACGACGGCTGCGGTGGCGGCGGACGGTACCCGTACGCGTGGCTCCGGAACAACTGCCGGTGTTCGTCGTGCGCGTCCGGCGAGACCGGTTTCCGGAAACAAGTGATCCGCGATTTTCAGTTCCGTCCCGTTCCCGACCGGTTCGAAGTAAGCGCTGCCCGTCACGTTACCGCGATCGTTGTTGCCTTCAAGCGACCCCTTCAACGTGTTACCGTTGTTGTTTTGATCGTATTACCGGCTCCCGCGAGCTCGGATCCCAAACGAGATCTTTAAGAGCTGGCGGGTCCTGTTTTTGATAATGTATTTCGAATCGCATGCGACATTCCGATTGGTATCGATGGACATTAAAAAACAACAGTACTGTATTGAATAAACAAATACGAAAAGTTATACATTATGGGCTGGTTAAAAATGTAACTTTCTAAGGACCTTGTCGACTCTGTAGTGCTTTGGTGCATTAACTAAATAGAAAATTGCAATTAGATTATAAAGTTTCTTTTATAATAACACGATTAGTTAGTTTCACACTTAAGAGTAACTTTTTAACTAATCTAGTTGTAATCGTGGCACATTAAATAGCATCAAATATGTAACTCGTTAAAAATGAAAAGAAAGATAATTGTTTTTCAATATTAATTTTAATTTATTTTCATCAAATATAATCTATCCAAACATAATTTATAACTAGAACGTGATATTTACCATTATACTCTCTGTAAATAATTAACATTTAAAATTAGTTATTCTGTTCTTTTAGATTTCAAACTATATAGGAACGCATATAATTATTTTTGTCATTATTATTATTAATAAAACAAGAGGCATACATAAAGATATTATAGGTACTATTTTAGATAAACTGTTTTTATTGGTATCATGAAGTTATATTTTAAACGCTTTGGAAATATATCAGTTACTATTTTAACTTTCGTTTCAACTTTATTTATTTTTCTAATTTAATTTGGTGTCATTAATTTTGGCGATTTTAAATCTAATTTTATTCGTATTTAATTTTAATTCTAGTCGATGACAAAACCAAATTCCAACGAAAATATCCTCCCATGTTTTGTGAACAACTTGTAAACAGGAATTTAAAGTATGTATGCATTGACGTGAGACCTGCAAAATTCACTTCGGTCAAGAACGATATGTACACATGGTTCTCCATATTATAATTTAAAAAATATATTCTTATACAAATCAGTCGAGTCTGAAGAATCCTTTAAAACGTACAAACGTATAAGAATTTGAGTACTGATATTTCCACTTAGTTCCATGTCACTATGACTATACGCGGTGCTTTAGTTACCTCATTCTAAAAATGATCATTGCATTAAAAATTTAAAACACAATATTAGACGAAATGATACATAATTTTTTAATATAATTTTAAGAAAAATATTTAAAACGCATAGAAGATTTATTAGCCTAGAAAAAACACGATCTATATTTATATATCAAATATTCATACTACCTGTTGCTTCACCTAGTGGCGCCGAACTCAGGGTTAAAGTCTGGTCATGACCAAGACCATATTTTTAGGGTGGTGGGTGGTACCATGTTTAATCAGTATACAATTAATAAGTGAATTAATCCAACTAACTATAAATTATAATAGTATCCATCCTCCCATTATTACTATTTAAGATGTTTAAGGTACCTAAATGCTATCATAAATACTAAAATAGGATAAACACTTTTGACAGGGGATGAACTCCCAACCCTTTAAAATACATCCTTGGATAGAATTTGTTGTGAGTTGTGAATTGGGTGACTATTGACCAAAGCATTCAAAATTTTGTTCAGCGCCACTAGCTTCACCGACATTTGAAAATGTCACTATGGTAGTAATTAACACTCGTATATTTACATCAATACCGGCTTTCGAAGCTCATAATGCATGGTATAAATAAATTTTAACTTTTAGCTATATTTATTTCTATATAATATACTTTACATAGTACGTTGTATATGTACAGGTTTATTTAACTCGAAAACACGAATTAATGTTTATCCTAAGCTCTTGAAATGATTTTCCATTTTTCGATTACACATAATACGATATGCAGTATGTTTTGATTGTTGATTGCCGTCCATTTTATAAATCAGTTAGCATCATCATAATGAGTATTTTGACAATTCACAGTTGTACTATTCAAATTCTACAATATTATCAACATTAACCGCCGAAACAATTGTACGGTATTATAATAATTATTTAATATTTCCTACGTTATATTAGATTATTATTATCAAAACGTTTAATAAACTTTATATTATTTTACTGATTTTATAATTGTATATTATTTTTTATAGCATAAATACATAGTAATAATAGTAATAATACGAAAGTATCATATTAATTCATCAAATAATTTCTACAATAATCGATAAGTTCTAGACCCATTATCCATAAGTTAAGCACAATAAAACTTGTTATTAAGCATTCTATGTAGACAATATATTATTCATGAATTTGTGACTTAAAAATTTAATTTCTATCGACTGATCTTCTCGAACAATTTATATGCTTAACGACAAATTATTTTCTTAACTTATCATTTCTAAATATCTTTAAAACTGAACGAAATTCTACGCAGAACGATACTTTGCTTGTATATGTGATGTTTGACTTGAATTACAAGAATTAGGAGTATTAAAGTTTTCTTAGTTCGAATCAAACTTGAATAAAGTAAAAATTATCAAATTTATTTTTATTCGAACTATGTTCAACCTGTAATTATCTCTTTCAGATTAAAGTAAATTTTTCTTTTCTGTACGAGTACTTCTAACGAAGCTACTGATAAAACTTGCATCAGACTTATCTAGTCAATTATTCATCGGATCTTTCAAAGGCATAATACATACTTTGGCACGTTAAATGTTGTATTTCAAACCCAATGTATTACTGTCTACCACGTATTACGCGTTCGTTCTTGGCATATTGAAAGTATAGGTAATCAGATCGAATTTTTTCGTGTCTGTAGTCGATAAAAGCTTTTTACTTGCTAACATTTAATTTACTTAATTAAATTAATTAAATATTGTACGGATCTCTTTTATAAAAATCATATTAAGAATCAAATAAACTCTAACACGAAATATAATAATACAACTCACAATCGAAGACATAGTCGGAAGACCAAGGTATTCAAATATCTCATCAGTTACATTTTTATGCGTAGTGATTTAATATTTTTCCGCGAATGAAAATAAATCGAAAATGATCCAACGTGATTTTGACTGTAATAATACCGCGTATTGCCGCTTTTGTACCCCTTTCAATATATTTTATACATGGTGCAGTTGCTATTTCTCACGCTGTAATATTACCATAAAGTAATACAATTTTTATTTAATTTTACTATAAAATAAAATCTGAAAAATTACAGATGTTATTCCACGCGATCAAACTTTTATTGAATAAAATTATTGTTAATTCCAACGTTAATTTTTTGGTGAATATTTTAATTCCATAATTTTAATATTTTAAGTGAGTTTCAACGCTAAAGGGAATATTTGCACCTTACGTCCACTTAAGTAATCGCGTAACTATGTCATTGAGTAGAAAATATGTTGCGTTAATAAGAATAATGTACTAAACAATAATAATGCATTACTATTCAAAGTGTATTTTAAACCTTATACATAGAATTTAATATGCAATTTGCAACTAGTTCATACAGTATGAATAACATTGTGAACAAGTTGAGTTTTTAAAGTGTTTTTTGGTAATTATTATCGATCTAAGGGTTTCGATATTAAAATACGTGGTATAATAAATAATATGGAAATAACGGGATTAAAACGGGATAGTCTTCTAAAAACGGGAAAAAAAGCGTCCCATTTGAAGTTTGTTGGGACAACGAGACGTCATGATCAAAAAAAGGACAATCCCGTTTTAAACGGGACGTCTGGTCACCCTATTCATACTTCATTCTGTTTTCAATAATTTCATACTTGTATTATTTTAAGAACCAAGTCAATTGGTCTGCAAATGAATACTACAATAATAAAACAAATACGATGATAACAAACGATTTACTAGAATTTAGAATTATTAATAAAATGTCCATATTGTTACACGAATCAGAGAAAAAAATTCTGTTGAAGTGTTATTAAGTTGTTATCCTCGTAAAGTAGAAAAATGTTTTCAAACTGTTGAATTCAATTTTTATTTTTAAAATAAGAATTTCTTATAGGCCTTGTTAATATACTATAAGTTTAGATGTATTAATATGTCGATAACGATAATATCGTATTGAAAAGGAACAATTTTCCTGAAGAGCGTTACTTATGTCAGTCATCAGTTCTTTCGGTTGGTAAAGTGAATATCTCCAAGACTATTATCATATTTGTACCTATGCTATTTTGTTTAACAACCAAAGAAAATATTTAACGGTGGTAATTTTATTTTTTGGGTGAATTCGTTTTTCATAGTGACTAATTATAATAATAAAATAATTTCACGATTTGAAAAAAAAAAAATAAAAATGAAAAAATTATTCACAGATTAATGATTTCCGTATAATCATTAAAAGCGTACGTATAATAAAATGATAATATAATGTGATTATAATAGAGGTGACGTGTGAATAACTACTATTATAAATTACTGTTGGTGATCAATCATTGAGAAGAAAAATGTCCGAGAAGACTGCACGCAACAATTGGAAAGAATTAAGTTTGTTTAGTTTTCACTGCACGAGGATCCATTAAAATGTCAACCGTGATCTATTGAGTTATAATATACTACTATATATACAGGTGGACTGCCGGAGTATTAATTTACAAACATAAACACTCTTTGGGCTTCAGTACCCATTTGTTTATCTATATTGTATAGTAGTATGCTTTAACTAATACGCCACGATCATGATGAGATCGAGTAACAATGGTTTTCGGAGACAAATTAAATCGTTTGAATATGATAAATTGTAATTATTAATTTTAGTGTTGTTTGAAATCGTGGAAACTATATATTACCGTTGACTGTTGTAGAAGGAAAACATATTTTATTAAACAATAAACCAACCATTTCAAGTACATCAAATGGTGGGTATCAATACACAGACTGGTTTCTTCTTGAGAAATTCAATAAAACTTGCTGATGTTGTACGATCCGGACCGAGAACGTTCGATGGATT